AGGGGAGTAAATCAGGCCATGATCTTGTTTTGCTGTTTAGAAGGATTACATCGCTACTTCTTCCTTGCAACTCGGACGAAGAGCCTGCTGAAGAAGCTTTTCCTCGGTTTTGCCCAGGCTGAGCACCGCCAACAGGAAGACTTAGCAGTATACGAAGCCTCAGGCCATGGACGCCAATGCCTGAGGTTTCCGCCGTCGGCAGCTTGTTTCAACCCGACTTTCCCTTTTGGGGGTGAGTCGGAATCCTGATGCCACAGCCCTATCTCTGGTTGGCTGCGAATGTTTCACAGCAGGCTGATTCTTTACCTAGCTAGGCATAGCGTCAAAGCTTGTGCCAGGCTAAGCAGGGATGCAGGGGCTGAGGTAATCGAACATCGCACCAATCAGAGCGAACGGGTAAATTCCGAACGTGGGAAATTGGCAGTGGGGGTAAGGAGGATCAAGACTATTGAGTGTGCTGCATCCTCATTGCTGATGTCTTTCCTTTGGCCCCTACAGGACCCGTTCATGCATGAAATTTTTATACGAGATCTCGGTCCTGGTTCGGTGATATCCGTCTGGGATGCATCAGCCCACCCCTGTTCATTTCCACCAGGGGGCCGATTCATTTATCTTCCTTCATCCCCATGTGATTCCACGAGTGGCTCGTATCGGCAGGAAGGATCGTCATGGCCTCCAATCTGAAAGTATCCGGGATCGCCTTCTTGGCTTTGCTGGGCTCGACTGTCGTCGCAGGGAAGGACAATTGCTCGGCTTGCAGCTTGAGTCATTTCAATGCGACGGTTGGAGGACGCGTGCAGCCTCTGACTCCCTTCTCCTTGCCTTGCTTCTCCAACTACAATGGCACCCCTGTGGCTCGCAACGCTGCCGCCTGCGCTGCCATTCAGGCCAACTACAGCGATCCGTGGCTGCGAACCAACTCTCCCAATGGCTACATGAACAACCAGGATGAGATGTGGTCGTCGGACCCCAGCGATCAGTGCCTGCTCGACAGTAGCGATCCCACTGATCCCCTGGCGTTCGTGAATGCCACCTGCCGGCAGGGTAACATGCCCTCCCACTATCTCGAGGTGCGGAGCGCCAAGGACGTGATCGAGGCCTTCCGGTACTCGAACTGCTCCGGCCAGCGGCTGGTCATCAAGAACAGCGGCCATGACTATCTCACTCGCAGCAGTGGCCGTGGTACCCTGTCCCTCTGGACTCGCAACCTGAGGTCCATCCGCTACGACCCTGCTTTTGTTCCCCGTGGCTGCAACAAGAACGGTCTCAAGTACAATGCCATCACCGTCGGCGCCGGAGTCAACTTCGACGAAGCGTATGCCTTTGCGCAGCAGCACAACGTCACCATCCTGGGCGGCTACTCCTCCACCGTCGGTGCCTCGGGCGGATGGGTCCTAAACGGCGGCCACTCCATTCTCAGTCCCGTGTACGGGCTCGGGGTGGACCGCGTCCTGGAATTCAAGGTCGTCACGCCAGACGGCGTCTACCGCACCGCCAACGAGTACCAGAACGCCGATCTCTTCTGGGCCCTCCGCGGCGGCGGCGGCGGCACCTTTGGCGTCGTGCTCGAATCCACCCACCGCGTCGAGCCTGCCCTCCGCTTTGTGGCCGCCAACATCAAATTCCCCAGCACCTCCTCCAACATGCTCCCCTTCATGGACATTGTCGTGAATAATACGTTGAAATGGGCTCAGGAAGGCTGGGGCGGCCACATCACCGGCAACACTCTCGTCAACGTCTCCCCCTTGCTTACCGTCGAGCAGGCCAAGGCCTCCCTCGCCGAGGTCATCGCCTACGCCGAGGCCAACGGCGGCTCCGCCGCCATCGAAGAGTACACATCGTGGTACCCCTTCTACGAGAAGTACGTGACCACCAGCTCCGTCGCCGTCGGCGTCACCCGTTTCCCCGGTAGCCGGCTGATCCCGCGCTCCGTCTTTGAAACCGCCGAGGGCCGCGCCAACCTAATGGCCTTCTTCGCGCTGCTCCAGTCAATGGGCCAGACGCCGTACATCCCTGTTGTTGGACCGGTGCTGTACAACTACACCGAGGGGTCGACGAGTGCGGCGCCCGCGTGGCGGCAGGCCGTCTGGGAGCTGGGTTCTGGCACGGCGTGGGCGTGGAACAGCACGTTGCCGACCCGGAAGCAGAAGATCGCGGGGATCCAGAACATGACGGCTGTGATTGAGGGGATCACGCCGGGTAGCGGGGCGTACAGCAATGAGGCCAACCCGTTTACGATCAATTGGCGTGAGGCGTGGTGGGGCAACAATTATGAGAGGTTGCTCAGCGTCAAGAACAAGTATGATCCTCGGGGGTTGTTGAAGTGCTGGAAGTGTATTGGGTGGGAGGAGGCTGATGCTGCTACCTCGCCTTTTGCTGCGTTTGTCTGAGACAGCACTTGTATTTCTCTAATTGTATATACGTAGCATGTCAGAGGACTGTAATATAATAGAGTAGTGACATTCCATCTTACATTCCTTAACCGTTTTGGTACAGCGCATCCTTAGATTGAGATACTGCACTGGCAATCATGGCCAACCTCTCCAGCACGTGTTCCTGATTAATATACATGATATAATGTAGTACAGACTCGTCAGAATCAAGGAGCGGATGTAAGTACGCACTAATTGCACGTTTATATTGCCTTGCAGATCCGGTCTGTGACCCAGTAGACCAGCCATTGAAGCACATGTTCGACAACGGCGGAACCTGCGGCCGTCTTCAGACTACATGATAAGCCAAGTAAATATAATCCATTGGTGGGTTTGACTACTAGCGGCCGTTAGACGGATATAGTTGCGTTGATATCACCTGTCACATGTCAGTAAGCCGACAATTTGATATCATTTTTAGTTGCAGAAGTCTATAACCATGGTCTTCTGTACCTTAGCTTTGTACAGGCGAGACTTGGTACCGTTATCATGTACGGTTACTAGCATAGACTCGGCATCTTTAGCTAATGCCGTCATGAACACTTGGCCGGTACCTGTAGATGTTGCACCAATATCACAGCAGTGTAACACGCACATGGTCAATATGGCCATGAAGTGTTCTTCCTCGGTGATTTTCCGCTGGTTCTGAAGATATAAAAGGCTTTCGTCTGTCTTGTCAATGCAAGAGTCAGGAGCTCCCACTGCCCTGAGAAAATACTGTACTGCATGCTTGCTGTCATAATGGCTCGCTTCCTTGCTGGAACAGCATGCCTGTCTGTGATTGCTTCGGCACATCCCCTGTCGGCCAGGCTGTATCCTAGCGTTCTACGCAGAGATACCACCGCCGCCAGCATTGAGCCCGTGTCAGCGATTTCTCTCTACTATCAAGCAGTCAACTCAAGCTCTATCGGCGCTCTGGTCCAAGCGGACTTGCAGCTCCCCTCCATCGTCCTTGAAGACGTCACTGACCTGTCAAGCGTGACCTGTACTGCCGACAGCGTGACAGTGACGTTCAATTCCACCACCACCTTCAACCAAGCATACACTTCCTGGCCTCGCTCAGACCTCCTCCTCGTCACCAACCACCTAGGCAACTGCGACGCAGAAGCCGAGCGCGGAATCTACCACGCAGCCTCTCTCCTCTTCGATGCCTCAACCCTAACCATCACCGCCACAACAAGCCAAACCAACCTCCAAGAGCAAGCCAAAACCGTCACCATCGCCTTCGGACACCCCGTCCCATCCCAGCACAAACGCGAGCTCTCCACCAACATCGACCTCGCCTGGTCGGGCGACCTCATTCGCACCAATGGCCTAACCATCCACGCCAACCACGCCACCCTCGACGCCGCAATCACCATCGACGGCGTCATCGCGTACAACGTCGTGACACAGACACCAACAACCCTCGGCCTCGACATCGCCGTTGCCCTCGACGCGACGCTCGGCCTCTCCGTCTCAGCCGCGGGCTCCTTCCTGCGCAACGTCTACACCTACAGATGGAGCCCCGTCGAGGCCGCCGGCTTCTCCATCCCGGGTATCCTGACCGTGGGACCGATGCTCGATCTCAACGTGGGCGTCGACATGGGGATGAACGGCACGGCAGAGGTCACGAGTAACATGACCATGGCGACGAACGGACTGTACCATCTCAATCTACTAAATATGACGGATAGCTCTGCGCGGAGCGTCGCGCCGACAGCGGCGACAACGTCAACGATGGACACCGCGGCGGATATGCAGCTTGATTCGTTCGTTGGGGCCGAGGTGGGCGTGACGGTGAATCTGTTTGACGGGCTGCTTGATTTGTCGTCTGGATTGGCGGCGCGAGCGACGGTCGTAAATGTGTTTAATGTCGATGCGGTGATGGTGGTCGGGGACGATGGGAATGTGACGCTGGTACCTCCTCCGGCGGACGGGAGTGGAGGCTGTGAGAATGGGTATTGGTTTACGAGCGATTTTTGGTTTAATGTCACGGCGAGGATGACGGCGCTGGTTACGATGGACTTGTATCATCTTGATATGCCTATGATGAAGACTGCGTGTATTGCGTTTTAGTGCCGCAGCCGTTGTCATGAAGGCATTCAGAGTGAGGATGTTTTAAGTTGCAACTCATTTCCCTCTCTGCTAAATTTAGCAATCTGTCTTCAATGCCCAGTAGTTGGTTCGCTATGTTCATCAACCCGTGGACATGCATATATCAGATATTGAACACTAGCTAGGAGGTAGTCTTGCATAATCCGCGAGGTACAACTCCTACATGATTGAGCGCATTACCATCATGAGACGTCCAATACAGAGATTAGTCTAGCCAGCATGGTCTCAAATGCAATCCTCCCCCCTTATTCCTTCATATGAAGTCACTGACACTTTAACTTTGAGACAGGGTACAGATTTTCGTTTCCGTTTCGGGAAAGGAATACGAGGTACGAGGTATCCACATTGCTCTCCAAACATATACAAGTATATAACTACCAGCAAACTCAGGGACGGTGACCAGCTTAGATACTATCGCTCAATCTGCAAGCAAAGCTCAGGCTTTACCACAGCAAGTATCTATCTATCGCGATGATAAAGTCACTCTACTTCCTGTGGGCCATGTCTGCCCTGACTTGTGCCAGCCGCTCCAACTACTCTGTTCGGCACGATTTGACGCCGGCACCAAGTAACCAGGCTACTCCCTCGAATGTTGACTGCGGCGCAGAGATGGCGTGCCGGTGTGGAATGTCACAGTTCCTGACACTGCCACATGCCAACATTACACGTCCGTCGCAAGCTAAGCAATGCGCCAACTACAGTAAGTTCTAGTTTCGGTCCGGACAAAAAATGGAAGTATGCATGAGGTCCCCCAACTGACATTCTTGCACCAAGAACTGATCGACGCTCGCGGCACGGCCGAACCGCAAGGCGTTTCCACCATGTTCTATCCCGTGATCCAGAACATCCTTTCCAACGTGACTGGTGGCGTCAGCCTACCCGTGGAGTATCCCGCAGCAGCGAGCCAAAACACCAGCAGCGGCGAGAAGTTCGTGGTGGACACCATCGCCCACGGACTCCGGCACTGTCCGCACCAGAAGTACGCTCTATTCGGCTATTCTCAAGGCGCAACCTTGATACTTAGGGTCCTCGGCCAACTGAGTCCTCCGGCCCTTGCATCGATCAAATCGGTTATTCTTGTCGGCAACCCGTACCGTATGCCCGGGAAGAGTTCCAATGTGAATGCTACTGCGCAGCACGATGAGAGGGCCTCGGTAGGAATGTTTGCGAGGCAGGCTATTGCCGGTAACAGGACGATTCCTCAGCTCTCAAAGGAGATGGACCAGAGTGGGAACGTGCTTGATTATTGTCTTGCAGTGAGTCGTAACAGTCGATATCCTTGTTCGTTTACTAGCTAATCTTTCTGTCTCCTCACCTTTATTCAGGACGATTTTGTTTGTGCGTCCAACCCTGCCTGCTCCTGCCAGATCCCAGCCGGTCACCTGTCCTATGGCCTGGTTGATACCGTTCAGCAGACTATCTTTGAGCATGTGGTTGGTCGTCTCGGGAGTATCTCTTACTGAGTTGGACGGCTTAGGGAATCCAGCATATAAACAGATAGATATGTATTATTCTCGATCTAATCATTTGTAGAGCAGTGTTGTCGGCGATCACACATTGACTATATATATAATAATCGACTGTTTTTGCACACATCTAGTGATTGCTCTGAGGTGGATCGTCTGGCATTAGAAAGAACAAGACCCACACCGCAGAAGTCCAGCCCTACTCTAATCAGTCCATGGATACAGGCAAGACTGCTAGCATTGTATATCTAGATACTCAGTCCATAAGATATGCTCGGAGCCGAAGTGTGGCGGTGGCCAATGGAATGTGGCCGAGCAGTCAGGTGATACATTGGTCAGCTGAGATCACCTGATCGAGAGAAAAAGTTTCGACTGTTGGAAGCGAGGGAATTCCATGGTTCATTCCAATGACGTAATCTTGGCATTCTGACGGAAGCCATGACAAACCCTACCCTAACGCTATTCCTCTTCCGGATGTGTGAGTGGATCTTCTCAAACAGGAAGGGTAGACGAACGCAGATTCTTTGGATGAATCGAGTGCAGTACTCAGTAGGCAGTGCCCAGGTATTAGCATTCACTTCAGCATTCAAATAATATATACCTTACTATCCTTTTCTACTGTTTCTTGACTCAATATCCAAGTAGTACTCTGTAGACATCCGTCATAGACTAAACGGATCAACAGCCACAAAGTCATTTGTTTCCTTGGTGAGGTGCCTGAAAGCTTGGTGGCCGGCGTTGAGCGAACCAGCATTAGCAATCAACGCCACTGACGATTCTCGGCTTATCCGGTTTCTTTTCTCTCGCTTTTTACTTTCATTCCTCAGCCTTTGCCGAGGCCGATCCGTCTCGGTCGGCGTCATTTCTTTCTTGTTGGGTTGGATTCTAAATAACCTGTTGGGCAGAGGTGAATAGCCTTTGGAGACACACCCCATGAACACATCATTTGATAGTATGATAGTATACTCCAGATACTCCGCAGTCTACTAATGTATGTATTCACCGGTGAACTGAAGAGGAATGGCAACCCCTCATTCTCCAGGTAACTGTTGAATGTCTCCAGCTGGGGATTCCGTCCTCTTCCGGGAGCAGGGGTACGGAGCAGAAATTTGCCGAGATTCTGGAGATGTGGGTGTAGGGGTGGATGTCTTAGTTTCGCTATATGCGCGGATACCCGGAATCAGTAATGATGGATGCTATTCCCTGACAATCATTACTACATGCCGTCTTCGGCCGATGCTCTGTAGAGAAATTGGCATACATCATCGTAATATAGTCCCCTGTCATTGCGTCCGTCTCATTTGACGAACCATTCCTGTCCATCGTGGCGCGGCCATGGCATTCCTTACTAAGAACCTGACCCAGTGGCGTCCGACAGAATCTTCTATGAACAAGCCGTGGATCCCGAAGTTCTGCCTGTCCTTCCCTCTGACTGGCCATTTACTGTCAGCTCTTCCAATCATAATCACGGATCATGCAGACCCGAAGCTGACGGCTTCTGTGCTATCCCCGTGCCGACTATCGTCATCTCCAGCGGGATGCCTGTCCTCCCCACACTCTTGTCTGTCCCTCCGACTGTGTACCTGTGGATCTCTTCTCTGATTTTTCTTCGTCCAGCCAGGGGGAGGTTGACAAATATAAATAAGCCGTTGCCTTCGCTCTGATCGCTTCCTCTTTTCTTCCTCCTCCGGGTTTTATCTCCTCCCTTCCTCCACTATCTTCCCTATATGGTCATATCATTATAATATCTCTTGATAGACAAGACTAGACATGGGTGTCGAGACAGAAACCCACCATGGGGAATCCATCACCCCCGCCCCCCAGCCTCAATACTCCAGCTCCGACTCGGTGGCGGCTGAGAAGCCCCTCGATCTCGGAGTCAACACCCCCATCCCCCGGCTGACCCTTCGGTCCGCCATCATGGGGCTGTTCGTCTCCATGGGAGGTCTGCTGTTCGGATATGACACTGGTCAGATCTCCGGCTTCCAGGAGATGAGCAACTACCTGCACCGGTATGGTGAATATAGCAACGGCAAGTGGGGCTTCAGCCATGTTCGCTCGGGTCTCATCGTCGGTCTGCTGTCCATTGGTACCCTGATCGGTGCTTTGGTCGGAGCTCCCATTGCCGACCGACTTGGCCGCAAGTGGTCCATCACCTTGTGGAACATCATCCTGATTGTCGGTATCATTGTCCAAATCACCTCTCCCGCCGGTCACTGGTGGCAGATGGTCATCGGCCGTTGGGTTACTGGTCTGGGTGTCGGCGGCTGCTCGCTGCTCGTCCCCATGTACCAGGGTGAGAGTGCCCCGCGTCACGTCCGTGGTGCCATGATCAGCTGCTACCAGCTGTTCGTGACACTGGGTATCTTCGTCGCCTACCTGATCAACCTGGGAACCGAGAGCATGGACGGCACTGCCCAGTGGCGCATCACGCTCGGCCTGACCGTCGTCTTCGCCTTGATCTTGGGCGGCGGCATGGCCTTCTTCCCCGAATCCCCGCGCTTCGAGTACCGTCACGGTAAGATCGACAGCGCCCGGCGCACCATGGCCAAGCTGTACGGTGTGCCCGAGAACCACCGCGTCATCGTCCAGGAACTCTACGAGATCCAGAAGCAGCTCGACGCCGAGTCCGGAGTGCAGGTGTGGCACGAGTTCCTGACCGGCCCGCGCATGCTCTACCGTGTCGCCCTGGGCATGCTCCTGCAATGCCTGCAGCAGCTCACCGGCGCCAACTACTTCTTCTACTACGGAACGACCATCTTCCAGGGTGCTGGTCTCTCCAACAGCTTCGTCACCTCCGTCATCCTCGGCGCCGTCAACTTCGTCACCACCTTTGGCGGTCTGTACGTGGTTGAGAACTTTGGCCGCCGCAAGTCCCTCATCTTCGGCGCCGGCTTCATGTTCTGCATGTTCCTGATTTTTGCGTCTATCGGCCACTTTATGCTTGATGTCAACGATCCCACCAACACCCCCGACGTCGGCAAGGGCATGATCGTCCTCGCCTGCTTCTTCATTGCGTATGTTCCTACCCTCCCCCCCCCTTCTTTCTGTTGTTCCAGTCCGTCGTCTAACTCAGTGATAGTGCATTCGCAATGACCTGGGGCCCCATGGTCTGGGCCATCGTCGCCGAGCTCTTCCCCTCCAAGTACCGCGCCAAGGGCATGGCCCTCGCCACCGCCTCCAACTGGCTCTGGAACTTCCTGCTCAGCTTCTTCACCCCCTTCATCACCGGCGCCATCGACTTCGCCTACGGCTATGTCTTCGCAGGATGTCTGCTCGTCGCCGCCTTCGTCGTCTACTTCTGCGTTATTGAAGGCAAGGGCCGTACACTCGAGGAGATCGACTGGATGTATGTGAACCATGTGGCGCCGTGGCGGAGCAGCAAGTTTGAGATTCCGCAGACGGAGTGGGAGGAGGGACCGGGTGCGCAGACCCGTAAGGAGGAGCAGGCCTTCCATGCGGAGATTGCCTAGTTTTTTGCGTTCCATTGCTTGGAGTTGGGGCTTGTGTTGGGTATATACTATACTACATTTGGATATAGATTTGCTTCTGGATTTGATACGATACCATGATGAATATATCATAGAGTTTTTCTCTTCATCTGGAGTCTGCCTGACCTATTTTACCGGTTATACTAGCTACATCTGCATTAAGCCTATCGGGCACTACGAACTCTTGACTGTACCTCGTACTTCGGGAAGCGAATGGATGATCTTTCTTTGATGCGCTGGTCTCTGACATGATGCCACAGCCGAACCTCCACAGCCGACAGCTTTTAAGAATTGTCCCAGCCGTTCAAGTCTGCTGTCGAGATACATTGGGTGGAAAAAAGTTATTATAAGGTGCATATCACGGTTCAGTTCACTAATGCCAGCAGGAATAAGTTGCCAAGGGCAACTCAAGCAATTAGCTATTAGTTGAATGGTCTTTTAATGGTGATTTGTGGCCGCGCTCCCAAGAAAATCTTTCACGTCTTCGTTCCGCAGCAATTTGATTTTAGCCAAAGTGGTGCATCTCCGGGCAGTTAACAAGCAGGTTCCACGACTTCGGAGAATCCATTGCCTCCTGTGAGATTGTTCGCTCGAAGCGATATTGACCTCCATCTTGCAAAAGACTGGGCTCGCGAATGAGTGACCATTGCCTGAAGGAGTAATGATCGGGTATAGTCCGTGCCCAAAGTGCATTTCTCCTCTTCGATGCCAACCACAGCCTGCTATGATTTCGGCACTCGCCAATTTGAAGAACCTTCTGAAATCCTCCGCTCTTTCCATCCAATAGAAGGACCATGACACGTCACTAAGCTCGGGCGTAATTTGCCTCGACCGCCGCAGGACGGGCTGCCTCGTATTCCCCTCGCGGGTTGCTTTAGTGTCGCGGCATCCATCCAACCACATCTCGGGGTTGGATACGAGTCATGTCGGTTGGTGTGATAACTACACGATGCCCAGACTTCGTCACTCGTATCGCATGAGGCTGATCTATTCCTGGCTGCCCTCCGCATCATTAAGGTTCGGAGGGCGTTCAGGCACCGTGCTATATAAGGCGGCTCGTTTACCCACTTTCCTCTCGACCTCTGTCAGCCAAATCATTCGCTTCAATTGATATCCTCGTCACTCGTTGATCGGTTATTATCTCAATCTTTACAATGTACAAGCTCCTCACTGCTTCCCTCCTGGTCACTGCCGCCCTTGCGGCAGGCCCTAACGGTCTCATTGCCCGCCAGGTCTCCAGCTGTGAGTCGCACACTGGCTACAAGACCTGCAAGTCTTCCTGCATTCCCGTCACCTACAGCTGCTGCGCTATTGGCGAGGGCGGCTGTGAGCCAGGCACCTACTGCACCGACGATGGCTGCTGCCCCATCGGGGAGATCTGCAGTGGGCCTGGTGGTACCCAGACTGGAACCTTGACCGATACCATCACCAACACCTTGACCAACACGATTACCAATACTCTGACAAACACCCACACCGAGACCGCGACGGCTACTACCACTGAGGAAACCACTTCCACTTCTACCTCTACTTCTACATCCACCTCGACCTCGACCTCGACCACTACGTCTCGCCCTGTCATCCCCACCCAGACCACGGTCACCTCTCCAAGCGGGACCCCATCGCCCTCTGGCTCCTCCACCGCCAGTCCTTCCCTCCCTCTGTTCACTGGCGCTGCGTCGCGTCTGAACGCCGGCATGGGTGCTGTGGCTGGTCTGATTGCGGGAGCTGCTCTCCTGTAATCACACATGAGCTTATGCCGTGACGAAGCAATATTAGTTAGTAGGAGTGCCGAATTCAAAGGAATTGTTTGTTGGTGTATCCTTGCTACTGTAACTAGTTATAGTCTAATCCTAATTGAATGCATGTGCTAGTCGTGGTCTTCTGTTCGGTAAACTGCATAAAATATGGTATATTGGACGTCAGTGCAGGAAAGAGTGACGGAGTCTAGACGTTTCATACATTGAAATCTACATTTTAGGGCTTGCGATATGATAACTTCGACTGCTGAGCCTCCATGCACAGTCGACGATGTCTCTAGCGGCGGCGACCTTGCAGTCAATCTGGCAGGGTCCATAAAGTTGTCTGCACATTCAGAAATCCTCCATAGAATACGTGCAAATTGTAGATCTAGAGAAGCAGCAATATTGTTGTCGATTCCAACTATTGCTACAGTTGATTTACAAGACAAACAAGATATTGAACGGGAGAGAAAGGTGTATTGAATAAATACATGTCTTTCAAGCTATTGCAAACACTTCTCTACAATAAATCCAAAGCCTCAATCCCCTTTCCCATTACCAGGCAAGAGTATGACAGCTGATACCATCTCACCTGTCATATTGACCATTCCAATCCATACCCCAAATCACACTGTGCAGATGAGCAGAGGAGGGAGACACCTACTTCTCCCCAGCCCCAGCCTCATACTCGGGATCCTGCCCACCACTTCGACACTCAGCACTAGCCCAGCTAAAAGAACAGAGTCCTATACTCACCTCACACGACGATCCCAAAGCCGACTCAAGTCCCCAACAGGCAAACGCACAGGCAACCCCACCGAATCAAACAACTGCGCCACCAGGAGGTAGAAACCCAGCATGCTCGCCACGAACAGGGACGCACCGGCTGCCTATATATTACCGTCAGCATTAGCCATGCACATCACTGGCTGTGGAAGGAGGGACATACCACAATCAACCGATTACCGACGAGGGCATCCGCAACAGCCAGACGCCAGTATGCCCCTGACAAGAAGACGAAGACGAGAGTGAGCGTCGTGAAGATGAGGACGTAGACGGCGTTGGTGCGGGTCGCGCAGATCAGGAAGATGAGCATTAGGACGCCCATCCAGATGAAGAGGAAGGCTGATTTGTTAGAAACTTCCGTTGTGCGTTGGATGGGGGGTGCGAACCGTATGTATTTAGAAAGTCTGGACTGCTGAGGCCGGCTACTGTGTCGGCAGCGGAGGTTGAGTAGGGGGCTGGTAGCAGACCCTGTTAGCAGCAGGAGTATGAGAAGGGGTGGAGACGAACCTGCAGCGTTGAATGCGGGAGTCATGGTGCAGCCGAATGCGAACCAGAAAGCTCCTGTTTCTCTCAGTCTCTGCATTTATACCTTCAAGGATACCCACGAACCAATTGTGCCAAAGACAACGCAGGGAAAGGTATTGCCGAGGATAAACTCCAGAATACTAGTCAAGACGAGAAGTCCGCCTCCCAGGAAGATGATCGGGCCACTAGAGGTAGATATCAGCATTGTATCCTGTCAACCTTCGGACATTGGACTTACGTAAATGCAATTCCCGCTCCGGTGGCACCTCTCCATCCCATAAGGCAGCAAGACAGAGGCGTGGTGGTAATAACAAATCCGCCGAGGGCCCTGATCAGTCAGTTCCGTGTATACTCGTGGCAAGCATGGGTAAGTACAAAGGAGTAGGATTGCCCATCTGCTTCGAGAGCATGCCCTGGCGCTGTGTCAGGGGGCTCAGGTACAGCTTTTCGAACTGCTCGGCGGATAGGGTGACCGACGTAGGGATTGTCGTTAGAGACGGCATGGCTGTGTCGTCCTGAGGCGAGGACTTTGCCTGTTGATTTTTCAGGGCCATCTCAGTGTCCATTGTGTCTGACAGTGTATGAGTTAAGGTATGCGGCAAATGAGATAGAAGTTGGGGAAATCTGGGGATAGATTCAAAACCCGGGGTACGGACAAGACCAGGTCTTATATCAGCTTCTCCTGGTGGAAACATTCAGCAAAGGCTCCTCATGATAGTCCGTATCCCGGCGGAGCGGAGTACATTGATCAGCACGAATATAATTTCCTTTTTGGGTAAGATCCGGGGAAGCGGAGTAGGAAGGAAGTCCAGCCCATCCCTTCATAGATGTGGCTGTAGCCTGGGATCATGATTCGCAGGTCGACATGCACAAGATCTCTAGTCTGAGAGGAACCCACCTTTGAGACTGGGCAGGGTGAGAAACCAGGATACGGGGATAACCCGTGTTTGGAACCGTGGATTGTCTGAATCCGAGATCATGGAGTACGTTTGATACCGACGGTGGTCTGCGCAATTCCCAAGGCATAAACCCTTGACATTGGCGTATCTCCGTGAGCTCATTCATCTACTAACAATGGTTTGTTTCTTGAAGAGTGAGGCATGAATTGTTCTTTGACCGACTTATACTACTGAATCGTACGAACAAGACTAAGGAAGTACAAGATGCCACATAAATCATAAATAAACTATTACCAATTCAATGCTCTACTACTCTAAGCGCCCTTGATACGAGCGTGCACAGTCTTGACTTGCGTGTAATTGTCCAGAGCGTACGATCCCAGCTCCCGGCCCAACCCGGATTCCTTGAAGCCCCCGAATGGCATCTGGGCAAGGAAGGTGTTGTAGTTGTTGATCCACACAGTTCTGCAACAGTTAGCAACATGCTCAACATGCTGAATGCCGGAACATACCCAGCTCTGATAGCATTGGATACCCGGATGGCAGTGTTCAGATTGGTAGTGTGAACAGCCGCCGCCAGCCCTACATCCAGTCAGCATCGTCAGCATCCAACGATGGAGATGAAAGGTAGCTCACCATAGTTCGTATTGTTAGCAATCTCAATAGCCTCCTCCTCGGAGCTAAACTTCTGCACTGTGCAAACAGGCCCAAAGATCTCCTCTTTGACGATCTTCATGTCCTCACGCACATCCGCGAAAATGGTAGGCTGGATGTAGTACCCCTTTTCGCCGTGGCGCGCGCCACCAGTAATAACGGTGGCACCCGCCTTCTTACCCTCGTCGATGTATCCCATGATGCGGTCAAATTGCACCTGAGAGACCTGGGGACCCTGGAACGTCTCCGGGTGGAACGGGTCTCCGACTTTGTTTTCCTCCGCGCGCTGCTTGAAGAGCGCTAGGAATTTGTCGTAGATCGATTCATGCACGAGGACGCGCGAACCGGCGGCACAGCATTGCCCGTGGTTGAAGTAGATACCCAGGTTGACGTATTTGATCGCGTCCTCCAGATCGGCGTCGGGGAAGACGATGTTGGGAGACTTGCCGCCCAGCTCCAGTGTGACTTTCTTTAGGTTGCTCTTCGCTGCGACCTGGAGAATCTGGCGGCCGACCAGCGTCGAGCCGGTGAATGCCACCTTGTCGATATCCATGTGGGCCGCGATTGCAGCGCCAGCTACACGTCCGAATCCCGAGATGATGTTGATGACGCCCGGTGGGAAGCCGGCCTCCTTGACCAATCTGGCGACGTACAGTGCTGAGAGCGGCGTCTGCTCAGCGGTTTTGAGGACAACAGTGTTGCCGGTGGAAATGGCAGGCCCGATCTTCCACGCCCACATCAGCAGTGGGAAATTCCATGGGATGATCTGGCCACACACGCCAACCGGCTCGTGACGGGTGTACGTCAGAGTGCCGGGGCTGGTATCGATCGTTTGGCCGACGATCTTGTCAGCCCAGCCACCATAGTACCGGATGCAGTTTGCCGAGAGAGCAACGTCTCCCTTGGCGATGTGGAAGGCCTTGCCGTTGTCGAGGGCCTCGATGGCGGCGACGGTATCCATGTCGCGTTCGAGGAGGTCAGCAAGGCGAGTTAGGAGACGGCCGCGCTCTGAGGGGATGACGTCCTTCCATGCGCCTTTGAATGCTTTGCGGGCGGCTTCGACGGCAATGTCGACATCTTTTTCGGTGGCCTCGTGAACGGCGACGATGGGCTTTTCGTCGTGGGGGTTGATGGTTTCAAAGGTTTTGCCTTCTACGCCGGGGACAAATTCATTGTTGATGAACCTTTGCAGTGTTAGCCAGGCGAATGGACTATCCTTGGGTACTTGGGTACATACAGCCCTAGTGGTTGCTCATAGGTAACAGTAGGAGTGACGATGGTCTGGAAGAGAGCCATTTTAAGACAGTCTGAGATGCGTGAAATCTACAATGGGATTGAAACGTGAACGTGCAGAAGATATGAGGATGGAAAGAGGGCCAGGCCTACGCTTCCATCGCTTACTCTTATAGCACAGTCCCATTGCATATGCACCGGGCCAAGGGCAAGTAGCAAGGATGTTGACACATAGAAAGACAAACAGTAGGATCCATGACTCCGCGTCTCCATGCCTCCGCACTCCACATTCTTCATTACACCTAACGCTAGGTTTGTGTCGGCGACTGGGATTCTCTCCTGTGGTTCCGCCTCTGTCCTGGCCGAGATCCACAAGTGGACTGCCACGAGACGAACCTCCGTAGCCCTTCTAGGTTTCTAGGACTGCTTGAAGAGGCAATTCGTCCTTGACCTAGTTGTGGGGGCTCGGACAGCTGAAACCTCAAGTTACACAAACAAACATGTTAGATTACTGGTATTGGATATTGTCAAGTGACCTCATATGCGACAGTTCAATTCGTCATCACCATCTCTGCGTGCAGCAAACTACCCCCGCATCTCAGGAAGTTTATCCCGGGGACTCGAATCCATCCTCCCACGTCCGAGAATCCGCGGAGGAAGAGCTGACTAGATAACTGGTGGATTCTAAGAAACTTAATCTATTGTTGCTCAGATCGGAGCCGCTCTCGGATCCGCATACGCTTGGCAGCGGATCAGCACGGCGGGGTATCACCTTCAGACCAGAGTGCCAACTCGAACGATGCTGGATGAGGTAGAATTTAGGTGATGATGTGCTGTACTGGTTATTCGATCTGACAATTTTCCTTTGGGCAGAAATATACCGGTTACACGCGGAATCAACCTGGCAACGAGGACTATACCTGTTCAAGGGCAGGTTTTGTGCTGTACAACATAAAACAGTGTAATATCCTCTTTATCTGCATTATTAGCAGCCTATCAGGTAGAGGTAATTAGTATGAGGTTATCTAAGTAATATCGAGTTGATGTATAAAAGCCTTAGGAAAGTCCAAATCAGAGGTCACGAGTGTGATATGTCTACAATCGAACAGAGGCAAGCTATATTCAGAATCATAGATGGTTGAATTGACTAATGACCACTCCACGACATACAAATCATTCTCATTTGTGCATTCCAGACATTCTCAATTGCTCAATGCAGAATAAACTATAGCAACCTAAGATACGAAACTCATTCAGGCAGCTCAAGGACGTAGCGACCAGCGATCTTGCCTTGTTCTATCGAATTGTTAGCTAGATCACCACATGAATGAAGCAACATACCCATGAGCTCATAGATCTTAGGCAGATCCTCAAGCGGCGCTGTCTTGAAAGGAGCTTTGATCAGACCCCGCGCGAAGAAATCAATTGCCTCGACGCCGTCCTGTCTGTTACCGACATAGCTGCCCTTGATGTTGATCATGCGCACAACAGTGTTGAGGACTGGTGCCCTCAGGAAGGCGTTCGCAGGCAATCCAATGGCAACGACAGTACCGCGCGAGCGAACATACTCGGTAGCCTGCTGGAAGGGCTTCTCCGAAACAGCCAGGAGAATCACAGCATGGGCGCCCAGCCCATCCGGAGTAGCCGCCTTGACATCAGCGACCAGATCGCTGGACTTGGTGAAATCAACGTATGCCTGTCCCGGTTAGTATCTCATATCTATTCGACGGATGCAACAAACCTCAGCACCAAGCTGCTCGCACATCGCCCTCTTCTCATCTCCACCATCAATTGCAATAACCCGCAGCCCCATGGCACGCGCATACTGCTGCGCCAGGGAGCCCAATCCACCACCCGCACCAACAATAGCGACAGTCTGTCCTGGCCGAGCCCCAGACTCTTTCAACCCCTTGTACACGGTAATACCAGCGCAAAGCACCGGCGCCACTGCATCCAGAGGTACATTCTTGGGGATCTTAGACGCATGCGTCGCCTTGCCAATGGTGTACTGCTGGAACGTCCCGTCGACGGTATACCCCGACAGCGAGGCATTCTGGCATAGCGGTTCATCCGCCTGCTTGCAGAATTCACATGCAAGACAAGACCCATTCAACCACTTGATGCCGGCGTGGTCGCCGATCTCGAATTCGGTGACGAGGTCGCCCTTTGCTACCACGATGCCGGCGCCCTCGTGCCCGCCGACGAGAGGCATCTTGACTGGGAGGGGCCAGTCGCCCTTCATGGCGTGGAGGTCGGTGTGGCAGACGCCTGAATAGCGGATCTTGACGAGGATCTCATCGGGCCCGGGCTTGGGGACGGGAATTTGCTTGAGGACTAGGGGTCCCCCGACTTTTTCGGCTACTTGGGCCCATTGCATGGTGGGGATGGAGTTCTTAGTCATGGTTGTTATAGGTGGGGCGAACTTGTGAAAGGAATTGAGATTGTGTAAGTAAAGCGATGTTATTGATGATTGATGAGATGGATCCAGATTAACTCGAGTACCTTGATGGTACTTATAGTTCTTTGGCAACTGTACGATGGAGATAAAAGGTTCCTTTGCTCCACTGGTGCCAGTTTCTTGCTATCCAGACGGGGATACGGAATGCGACTGAGAGGGGAACGAGGACACGCATCCCAGTGGAGTTTCTCGAGATAGCAGTGCGAGATTGATGATTGGTCGGTATCTCCCATAGCTGAGATGTGAGCCAATGCAGTTTGCTTACTGTGGAGTGAAGCATTTCTCGGATGCCCTCCATTTCCCCAGATCCCCGCGCCTACGAGTCCGGTGTAATCCCCGTGGGGAATCGCACCACACCTCTAACTCATTCAATTCTCTGGCTCAAAGTACACTTCAGGCAATAATCCCGAATTCTACTTCCTTGTGTCCGAGAACCTACAGGCTAGTGAATAATACAGTAGAAGCAAGAGCTCATCCAGAAGCACATCCTAAGAGCCGGTATGCGGGGGGAAAGCCGACAATAGTACGATGCACACGCCAACCAATCATGGTCCAGGCTATTCCGGGCCTCGTGGCGATCAGAGTACGGAGTAGCTCCACGATTCAGTCCATCGTCCAGAATCAGGGACAAAGGAATTGAGTTCCATATGTCCGAGTCATGGCAAAGGCTCTTTTCTGGCTCGCTAAATGCTCCGCAAGGCTGAAAATCGAGCTTAAAGCTAATAGTAGGGCAGATAACTGCCGAGTGACAGCGGCTGCGGGGAAGACCTTGTGCGGTTCCGCACAAACTCTATTGAGGCCCAGATGCGATCTACCAGAGCGGATGTCTCGAGAAATGAACCCTAGAAAGAGACATTGTCGATCTATGCCGTCATCTGATTGGTGAGAGTCACCAGACGCTTCTAGGCATCCCGCCACGACCTAATACAAGTGCGGAGCCGCTCCGGGAGGGGCATGCCTTGCCAATCTGGACATTGGTCTTCCCTATGCGGAACCGCTCATGGAAGTAGGTCCTCTGTGTTCATGAGAATTGATTGGCTGTCTGAGATTTGGGACTCGATCAACATACCTTGACACAGGGGATTCTATCCCTACCTCTCGAACCAAACAGGATGCTGTCACCAACTTCTGATTGGTGATGTAAATTGACAATGATGGTCCAAACTGAGTTTACTAGATTGTACTGTGTCTCACTCATCTGAACTGGCGATCGAGCATCAATCAATAGCTAGGATCCGTACACACAGTTCTGTCGCGGAGCCGCTCAGGAGCTATGGACGCTGATCGCAGCCACATAATCCCTTGTGTATCGTTGGTTTTGGCTGGCGTTCTGTATCTTACTTCCATTAATACGCATATTTAACATCGACACTACGTCCAATATAGATTGCATGTTTTAGTCATTGCCACGGCAATAGGACACGCACAATGGCTACATCATATCATTCTCAAAGCACGCAAAGCACGAGAGCACCAGCGGCAGACACAACCGAAGCCTCAAGACCACGAAGAAAGAAGGCTAGAAGAGCTTGCTCTGCTTGTCAGAAATCGCATCAGACATGTGGTAAGTGAGGTTGCAGTGAGTCCAGAGCCTTAGCAAGTACTGATCCAGGTCCACAGGCAACGAGCGACCATGTCAATCGTGCGTAAGGCGCGGCTGTGCAGACTCCTGTCGCGATGGTGAGCGCAAGAAGCCAAAGTATCTCGAGGAGGGCTCATATAGGGTCTTCACTATACAATACAACGTACCGTGCCACAACAACTGTGCATCCACCACTTTGAATGAAACATTCGCGTGCAAAGATACCGGGATTCAGTCAAGGACACCGAGTCCAAGTTCAGGGCAATCGATATATCCTTGCCGAAACTTCAATCCGTGGACAGTCTGTGCGGAGGATCCCTTCGTCGGTCTGGAATTGAATGACGCAGAAATTGAAATGCACGATTCATTTCTCTTGGACTCTCCTCGGAGTGATACAATCGACGCAGTACCACAAACCGATGCTGTGCTTGCATTTGCAATAGGAAGCGGGTGGTCGAGTACGTTTCTCCAGTCGGAGTATGAGGATTCTGTATAGCATAGTCATGTATTTAGCCAGCGTAATACCCTATGATGATTTTACAGCTATACGTTTCTTCCAGCCCGGCTTTAAATGCCCCCGCGAAATAAAAATATAACATGGTCTCCTTCAAGCAAGGTATTCACATGGCATTATACAAGTGGCGGGTCCTTCTTTGCCAGTATTATCTTCTACTCTATATCTAACGTATGGCGTTGGTTCCAGATTCATTCGAGAAACTCCCTCCGGCTGGCCGGATCATGCCCCTTCGATCTTCATTGACGATTACTCTTACTGGTTCTCTCTCTAGGTGGTAGATTGGTACGATTTCAATGGTCCAATCTGTCAAGGGTGCGGCGGACTTCGAAATATATGGTACAACGGTGCAACACCGCAATTTGTATGGACAAACATTAATTTCATGGCTATCCTGCGCTGTACGCAATAATAACTATTTATTAGAGCAATGTTGAAGCTTCGCTTGAAAACACAAAAGTATCTACGAGGCTGGGAAAAATGGTGCTTACAAATTGACGATTATAAATGGTGAGATTACCAATCTTCAGCGCACATCTTTTAGCATGCGGATCAAGTATAAAAGGGCGAGTGATCATTGATTTAGGCGTACTCAAGAAGGAATCCAACCAGACATAAAGCCTGCTTTCACTCCTCCGTCGTTCAAAACAGCCTCGAACCTTCACCAAGTTTTTTCTCACAAATCCCAGAGCCCACAATGGCAAACTCAAAAGACATAAACATGTCCACCCCAATCCGCCGCATCATCACCGCGCACGACCCTAAAGGCAAAGCCTACTTCGCCTCAGATGAACTTCTCCAGCCCTACGACCCAACCAGCGCTCCACGCTTCGAAGTCCCAGGCCCCAACTCCGGCTTCGGAGTGATCCAAATCCACCGCTCCCGGAGCTTCCCCGTCGACAACATGCGCCAGACCAAAGATCCCCACCGGACTCTTGTCCCGCTGGCTGATACGAAGGGTCCCTCGTGCAGGATCCTTGATCTGCCTCCTGCGGAAGCGGGCTGGATGCATCGGACGCTGTCGTTGGATTATGCGGTTGTGTTGTCTGGGACGGTTGGGTTCCGGACGGATGGCGGGGAGGAGAAGGTGCTCAAGGAGCATGATGTGATTGTTGTGCGGGGGGTGAATCATGAGTGGATTAATCGGGGGGATACGCTGGCGAGGTTATTTGTTGTTGTGGTGCCCAGTAAGGAGATTGAGACTGAGGATGGGGTGAGGTTGGAGAAGACGCCGGCTGGGGAGATTTATGATCCCCCGGAGGAGGAGGATTGAGCCTATCCTCTCATTGTGATTCAGGCTGTTTAGACCTTGAGGGAAACATTTACAGATTATAGGAAAGATGTACATAGGAACGCGGATCAATGCTTCAGTCGCAGTAGCACATCATGGCATGATGTCTGAATTCTAACCACTGCTGCATCAGTTGTCTGTTTCTCCGTGTCTCTGTTTTTAACACAGAGTATATTCTATGCTGCGGTTCCAGAAGCGGTTGTCACTAATACATGAGCCTGTCAAGATGAACTTAAATGAGTTAAGGTCAGCTTGGAAGCCCTTGCTCGAAAGTTAGCGGAACTGCTATGGATGCGGCCCTTTTGATTTACCAAAAGCACTATCGCTGCAGCTAGAGAGCTACAGGATAATGAGAACAGCGCAGCCAGCCAGAGCCTACGGCTCCCTTGTCTGATTCAAGGCCGTGTTCTCAGACCGGAGCTTCTGCTTTTCATTGATGTTGAGCTCGATTATGAGCGTCTTGCTCATCGCTTGCTGTGCACATCCAGTCAAACCCCAGAATAGACCCTTAAACCAAGACTGACACTTACCATTATTGTATGCCCTTTCGCCTCCCTATTTCTCGGCTCCCACTGGTCCGGAAAGCGCTCCTCGGCAAGCCAAATCCGGAGGTCGTCCACATCACCACCAAAGATCGAGTGCATGAGCGCGTTGTTTCCGGAGCCTGGCACACCGGTGAGAAATCACCACGAGCCGGGGAAAAAAAGGGGAACCTACCAGAGAACTGGTGCAGGAAGCTCCACGTCATTGAGTATTGGCCATTGCTACGTTTGCACTCTGCGCGTCGGAGGCCAGAGAAGTAGACTATGTCGTTGAGCGAGAGAAATTTGCCATTTGATGCATGGGAGAGGAATTTGTCTACTAAGTCCGGGTGCGGGACGCTCTGGTCAGGACAGAAGGCGATGTCGGGACCTGTTTATTTCTCGCGTCAGCACACCACGGCCGGTTGGAAGTACTGATAAGTAACTGACGTGTGAACGAGGCATCGTGCTGGATGACCTGTGAGGCGAGGGTCAGTGCGCCGTCAGATTTACGTGGTTATGTATCCTGATGACAAACGTTCAAAGCACTGAGGTCCTGCAGGTCGATCCAGCCCCGCCCTTGTTCGAGTTGATAGGCCGAAGCAGTGAGCTGGTCGGCGAGGGACGGCGCAAGGTGATACGCATGTTGGATGGCATGCGACATTTGTTTGTAGCTGATGTGTTTACCATTGCGGGGCAAGATGTCTGCCCGTGTCAGACTAGCGAAGGACAGGCATGTGGAAGCGCATTTTACAGTCTCACATACCGTGGTTGGCAAGAGCATTGAGCCTGGGCGTGTCAGTATAATGTTGTGAAAGATAAGAAAACATACGCTGGACAGGGCGAACGGGAGTCGGTGGCTTGAATGGGCGCCTGAAATTGCGGCCAGACGCCACCGTGACCTGGCTAGTGGAAAGGTACAACGCTTCCAACTTTACGGCGGGGGAGAAATAGGTTTGCAGTCTGTACACGTTCCGTCGAAGTTAGGATTCATGGACAGGCATAAACCGAGAGTAATGCATACAACGTAGTAGATGTCACGGATGGTGAGCCAAATGGCAAAAAAGAGGAGAGCAGCAATGGCTTTCAAGAGGTTGAAAAACCTTCTAAAGGTGCCGACAGTCGTGGTAAATGTCTGAAGGCATTTAAATTCGAGTCTATTTGGGCGTCAGCTGAACCATCCAGATAATCCTATGTTTGCTTCTTTGTCAGGGCTTTCGTTCGTTGAGGCTGCATAACAAATCACAGGTATAAGTTTCTAGTGGATTGGATATGGGCTGATAACCACCTGTTAACCCATCTAACCCACCCTCGAATCCATGCGGATTGGATTGGGTCATCTAGACGTATCCATGCTGGTTAATCCAGATCCACCGTTCGTGGATAAACTATGGATTTGCGTGTTGGATCGGCTAGTCTAGTCCCGGCATTCTTGTTTTATGACAGAAAGTTGGAAGAATTCGGCCACACCCTTGCTCTGAGACACCATCTTACAGACACCGGGTGTAACCCCCTGGATTCAGCTGCGGGGTCAGCAAGGCATCCGTGCCCCTCGAGTTGCTCCCCTCCCTTTATCAAGTCGCGCAGTTCGAGGCAGTGGTGCTCTCGATTTCTGCACTCTTTGACTTATCGCAATGACTTGGATGGGATACAGGTTCCGAAGCAAATTATATGTGTCAAATATCGACCGTTTCTGACTCACTGTCGCATATCAGCGGAAGCTAATCCAGAAGGAGAGGCCGGGTCGTCAAATTTCTTGCATTTAATATCCAAGACGGATATTGAGCTTTTATACGGTGTTGGACCGATTGTTGCTGGATACGGCATCGACAAGTATATCCGATTGACTCTACTGTCTAAGAGCGTGTACACAACTTTGCTTTCGTCGTTCGGTTTTGATTTAACGAGATTCTGCTTTGATCATCTGCAGAGCAAGATGGATCAACCGGTACCACGCGTTGAGCTCGCCTTCCGTCCAAAGCAAAGTGTCACGGCACTTGTCGGCAGTATTCGGAAACCAGGAGATCAGGTAGACATGACTACTGAGGTAAAGGAGCAGCATGCGACCCAGCAGAGAAGCCAAGCGCCAAGACGCGGCCGGCGATATGCCAGGCCAGCGACTGCACCTCCGAAAAGCTCATCAAAGAAAGAAGCCTCTGAGCGGAAAGAGCCTGTGGTGCATGAGTGGTCAGATGTCCCTGGACCATTGCATGAGGCTGTGATCGCCTCCCTGCAAGAAGTATGTCATGATCTAGATACTCTGGCCAGGTCCGGCTACAAAGTCCGCGAGATGACCCAGGAGGACATGGAAGGTTATGCAAAGTGTATGAATTGCGGAGGTGCGTATTAATACCTCCTCTGGTATAGAAGACAAAGAATGCTGAAAAGCTATGCAGAACGCAAGCGAGTTCTAGACACGAAATCAAAATCAATTTGTTTCTACCACCCAGTGAAACGCAATCTCCAGAAGAAACAATACAAGTATCCATGCTGTGGAAAGAAGCAGGCATGCGCCTCACTGCCGGCGCATGTTTACGCACCCGTTCAAGGTTTTATCCTAGAGAACTGGTGGAATTATCGATTAACACCGAGTTCTCTGTCAGGGCTCCGTCCACCTCGACGCGCGGTCGCACTCGATTGTGAGATGGTCGAGGTCGATGGAGGAAGTGCGGAACTAGCGCAGATATGCGCCGTTGATATCCTGACCAGTGAAGTTATTGTTGACATATAGGTCGTCCCGTCGAGGAAGGTAACGGACTGGCGAACTCCTTGGAGCGGGATGTCGCAGAAACTTCTCAAGGAGATGAAAAAGGCTGGAAAGACTGTCAACAGATGGGAAGAGGCTCGGAAAGCACTATGGGCGCACATCGATCCAGACACCATCCTCGTGGGCCAGTCGCTCCAGCACGATCTCGATATCATGCGGATGGTCCATTTGAACATCATTGACACGGCTATCCTCACTCGGGAGGCAGTAGCGAAAGATTGCAAGCAGAACTGGGGGCTGATGCGACTGTGCAAGCAGATGCTTGATCGAGATATTCAGCAGTCGCGGAGAGGACACAATTGCTTGGAGGATACCATGGCGACTAGGGAGGTGGTTCTCTGGTGTGTTCGGCATCCCGGCAAGTTCCAGGAGTGGGCAGTGTCCCAGAGGGAATGGAAGAAGAAGGCCGATGCGCATTGGAAATCAAAGCGGAAAGAGTCGGATAAGGCTCAGGTCAAGCAGCCTCATGAGCGTGTCTCCCAAGAACTGGCCGAGTAGAGCACTCTTTTTGTGTATGTGCTGCAGTCTGGTCGTTGGTGCTTTTTGCATACATCACCCGCACTTTGAGTATGCTACATACAAAGGACTTCCGGTCTTCGTGGGAGACTATCATGAGTATATAAAGAGCATCTCTCAGCAAAATGGGAGTTAGC